CTGTGGACCAATCTTTAAGAAACTTGGTATGTATATTTTGGCACTTGAGCCTATCTCAACAGTGTACTTCACAAATCCCTCCCATCAGTCTGTGTGTTTGTATGTGCATCCCTCCTATTGTTGCTAGGCAACAACCTGATGAAGATGTTTGTATGTAAGTATGTATGTGAGAATGAAAGGGGCACAAACATGGACACCACAAAAGGAAAATAACACAGAATGGAGAAAGAGTTTCATTCTCAAAAAACATATTTTACTGTGAACAATGATAATGCAATAGCATGGAAATATATTGACTTAAGATGCAGCACAATGCACTGGTTTCAAAAAGTGAACAGTTGTCTGAAGATGGCCAATTAAGACCAAAACATGTAACAACTGATGTGATTTTAATGTTATTTTAAATTAAAGAGAGATTGTGAACATTTTTAAATTGCATTAAAGGAGGTGAATGAGTAAGTGATCTATAATTGCATTGGTTATACAGTGTTACATGTGATTTTAAGTGTAAATATGGAAGAAAGCAATCCTGCATTGCCAGCTTCAGGCTCCTGCTGCTTTATGACTGGGGAAAGAGAAACTGATATCTACTGAACGGGAGGATAGGTGGACGCTACATATGGCCTGGACATGGTGGGAAAGTGACCCATTTCTGTCCCTGCTGGACTGAACATCAGTTATCCAGCCCAGAAGCAATCACTTTCCTGACTGAGCTATACCAGCTCATCACTGTACAACCAACACTACTTAAACAGTGAATTATTTTCACTTACTGAGGGTATTGTGAAAAAAATCTGTAAGTGATTTGTCCCAGTCACTTTGAAAAAATGCAAGTCCAGCCGGTGTAATGTCATCTTGTCTCTCTCGGTAAAAATCCAGTGTCTGGAAGGTTCTCTCCTCTAAGTGCAGGCTGTAAGCAAATAAATCAATAACAAATGAACACCATTAAAACAAAGAAAAAGACAAACTACAGTCTGTCCATGTATGTATGTTTCAAAGCTATTCAGTCACACCATATCAGGTGCAGAAGTTATGAAACAGTTATTAATGCATGCATTCAAAGTTGACTAAACTGCATTACTTATTCATGACTGTCACCATGTTAAACATATTAATAATGATTTCACTATTCTGATACTTCCTCCACACCAGGCATAATTGTAGTACCACCATGAATTGGTGTCCACTGTCTTCTTGGACAAAATGGTGTCCATTATGTTAGGGCAGATTTTATTAACACACACCTCATGCTTATATTAAGAAACAGTGTATGTCACACACATAATTAAAGCTTTTCACAAATCAGACTGAAACTTTGGAACAAGAAGTGACCTACATATGCAAAGAGCTACAAACTTGATAAATATTATGCAGCAATAACTGTGTTAATAGAAGGGGAAGATGGTACAGGAGAGGAGAGAAAGCATATTTAGTAGACATGTGTATACAGTATAACACAGTGACATAATGGTAAAGTTTTTGTTCAAAACTGGACTATGTCTTACCAAGGTCCCACCTTCTTCAGTTGAGTGTAATCCATCTTCCTCTCCTGTTTGTATAGGATAAACACAAAGCGTTGGAAGCCAGTGCCTCGTGGAGGAAAAGGCTGCAAGTAGCTCCACACCACTTCACCCTGGCTGATATTATTACCAGGGATGTTGCCTCTGAGGAGCAATCCAGAGTGCACCACTATATTCTTTTATAAATTGTATATCCAGCAATAAAATAAAACTCATGTTACTTTTCCCAGTGCTCATTTATCGGCTCAAATAATATTACTGACATCAGGGAAATGTTTCAAACAAACTCAGCAATACATAAAACCATTACAAGACTAACCTCAATTATAGCATGTGAAGATTGATCAATTTACTTACACAAACCAATGAACATATTCAGCATTTTGTTTGGTTAAATGCCCATCAGGATTAGTGAGAATGAGTGTCCACAGGGAACTGGGTTCACCGATGTATTTCACTTCAGGAACAGTTTCAGCCTACAACATACACAGAACAACATTCTCAATGAGTAAACCCTGCAGTTATTGAAACACTTGCAATCTTGAGAACACTATGTTCACAAATCATTGATACTGTCAATTCATAAGTTAACTTTCCACTATATACTATTCATTCATTCATTACTGGAGGGGGTGGGTTTCCCCATGCACCGCGACCAGTTGTTGATCTATTGTACGTCCCCCTTTGATATTCTACCAGTCAATCATACTCTTCCAGTACTGGTGCTCGCTATCAGCCCCTTTCAGCCAGCGAGTTTGGCCTCTCTACTGGCAGTGGTACCTGATACTTCCCCATCTACCAGAGGCATTGGAAACTACTTGGGTGGGAAACTTTTACCTAATTTTGCTCAGAGGTCTCCTAGAGACATGAGGATCTTTTACGTGCCATAAATCTATGACACGGGACCCATGGCTTAAAGTCCCTCCCAGACTCCACGACCTCCGCCGGGTTTGAACCCGCGTACCTTGAATCTTGAGGTGGGAACGTTACCCCTAGACTACGGAGGCCGCTTCCACTATATACTAGCTACTCAAACTATACTTCTTATGACATGTACAAAGAATGAACAAATACTTGGGGAGAATCTTTTGTTTCTTCCTAAGAGGTTAGGACATAATGTAAAACATCAATCTCATTAACATCGAAATTTGGTGACAGTCTATGGAAGAAAACTACATAACGAAAGGTTCNTGAGGTGGGAACGTTACCCCTAGACTACGGAGGCCGCTTCCACTATATACTAGCTACTCAAACTATACTTCTTATGACATGTACAAAGAATGAACAAATACTTGGGGACAATCTTTTGTTTCTTCGTAAGAGGTTAGGACATAATGTAAAACATCAATCTCATTAACATCTATAACCTTTATTTGAAACATTTTTCAGTATGGTCAGTATTTCATGAAACAAGGTATGTGAAATTAAAAGAATGTGCACCTGAAAAGTATGAGAGTATGCCTTCTATTCTTGCTGTACACTTAACAGTTATCTGTTACAGATTATTGGAGTTTAATGATATTGCAATAAATGCATATGTTCTGTAACTGTGAACAAGCGAGAAGACTGGAAGAAGTCTGAAAATAATCTTGCTCTGTATAGTTTTATTCTGGCATTTGTGTGTCTGGACATAGAAAAGCAATCAAAAACGTCTATACAGCCAGTTCTTGGCCACACTGTGAAGTATATTAGAACTAAAATAAACTTACTAGATGAATGCCCCAGATACAGGTAATAAAAAGAACAGCAATTTTAAGAATAAATACTCATCTACAAAACGCGATGTATATCACTTTCTTGCAACAATTTACTGCATTAATTAATCAGATTAGTCATACTCTGAACCTGGAATATCTGCCGCACATTTGCTTTTGTTTTTGGTTGAAAATGATGTTCTCAGTCATCACAGATGAAGACAAGACAGATATAAAAAGTGAATTTTCTGTATTACCTTTATAAAAATTCTATCTTTTGGGATATAGCACCATGTTGTCTGTTGAATGGATTATACAGCATTATATCCCAGAAGACATAACTCCTCATAACCACTACTGTAAAAACCTCAAACACTACACACTGTTTCTCCTTCAAAGTCTGAAAACTTTCATCTAATATACAAAATGGCTGTTCCATGAGAGAAAGAATACAGTAACAATTGGAGCAAAAGTAGAAAGTCTATGCTATATCTTACAACAAACATCTTAAAATATACCTCTTTGTACACATTACTACAAGAGCTTAATGCAGAGATCATTTTGAAATTTATCATGACTTGTTGTACTATCTATGAATTAGTGTCACTTGTTCTCCAAACACAGCGTGCAATTTTAAAGAAGCTATATATATAAAAAAAAAGTTATCTATCCATCACTGCCATTGGATATGTCAACTCAAACACTTTATTGACTTTGGCAAAATTTTGATTTGCAGACTTGCACTGAAATCTGTACATGATGTACTTGACTGTGCATAGCAGGAATGGACTTGCACCAGATGTGGCTACCAATTAACTGGCTTTCCATCATTTCACCTAGTTAAGAGTATGAGAGACCAAAGTCATTACTGAAAGGTGCAGGAGGAGAAAACAATGTGATGCCCACAAACCAAATTTTGAAGACTGTCCAATCCTTACTCTGCCTCTTAGTTACATGCTGTTCACCCTTGCTCTTCCAGCCTGCACAGTGCAGTGAAATATGCAGTTTTGTTCCCATCCGTCATTCTGAGAAATCTATCTGCCTGAAAACTCAGACAAGAGGCAAGTGCATAATCAATATGTATAGTCCAATAATAATTTTGCCGGTCATGGTAGCTGAGCAGTCTAAAGCATGTAATGTCTTCGCTTGCTTGGAGGCCAGGATTGTGGGTTCGAATCCCACACAAGGCATAAATGTTTGGTATGTGTATGTGTTTATTCTGTGTTTAGGTAAAGGCCTTTTGAAGAGCTGCTCACCTGTCCAAGGAGTCCTACCATCTGTAAAAAATTATCAATGAAACTGAGAAATCAGCCCTGTGCTCCAAAATGGGAGCAAGAGGAAAAAACTTTCAGTTACATTCTGCTATGAATATCAGTCTGAGACTTTAAGGACGCAATTCAAATGGCAACAAGTGTTACAAATATATAAGGTTATGTTATATGTTCTAATAGTGCAATGTGATGACAACAAATCTCTCCACATATTATGACATACAATATACATGTTATTTGAGGGCATGAGGATGTGGATTGGATTGAAATGACTGTCCAGTGTTAGGTTTTGTGAACAAAATTATGAACCACCAGTTTCTACAAAAGGCATGGGATTTCTTGACCAGCTAAGCAAGTATTAGCTCCTCAAGAATGACTCTGCTCCATATAGATACTAATCCAACCAAAGACTCAAATGAAAACTGGTGTACTTTCTTCATTCCTTACACCAATAATTTACTTTTATGTTGTATAAGACAGCTCTTACATTGAAAACGTCATCTGTGTTACTAATTTAATTGCAAGGTTTAACCAAATACAACCTCAGATGGTTTAATCACATTTCCTCGGTGAACTGGAAGGTAACTTTCATCTGTTAGCTTGTAGTGGACATCTAGTTTCACTCGTGGAGTGAAGTATGCATCTCCAAACAGATCATCATACACTCCATAATGTTCTGCAACACGCCGTATATGCAGAGGTCCAGCTGTTCTTAGCCATTCATCTTTAACTTCGTTTAAGGGAACCTGAACTGTAAAATTGAAAGACATTACACAATAATGTGTGTGTGTACAGATGGAGAGCAGAGAATCCATAACCTGTTGAAATATGATGCCACAATTTTTATTGTGTTTGAATAAAAAAGTCACCCTGCATTGGTACTAATGATTCTATCAATTTATACGTTAAGGTTCACACTTCTGTATTTAAAAAAATGTGGAAGTGCCCCCCACAAAAAACAAAACAAACAAAAACAGTTCAGTGTGTTCATGTGCATTTTGGGTGAACTTGATAAAAAAAATTGGACAGACCATTGCAGCCAAATGTTTAGCATTTTTGCTTTGTAATTGGGAGGTTCCACTTCTGAAACTTGGTCTGAAAACTGTGTTACATCTTGGTTGAAAATTTTTATTGCTTTCCTTAGTCAGTCCAAGCAAATACTGAGATAGCACATTAAACTAGGCCACCACTTCCTTCAACATGCTTTCCAATTCAGCACTCATAAATCACCCTATCATTTTATGCCACATGACCCAAGGAATTGCAATAGAATTATTAAACATACCAAGAATAAATCAGACTTAAGATGGAGGAAACATTGGTAAAGTCACCTGACTTGAAACTTGACTGAGAAGGGGTATCTTCAAATTTCTTTACAAATCAGTTAATGGAAATACATCATGAATTCTACGCATAACAGAATATTGAAGAGGTCTTACTGCATTTTTAACATCAGCTATCAAACAAAGCCGCATTACTTACGTTGCTTCGTTCTAGATAGTCTTTCTCTCTCTGGATTTGATTTTGCAGCTTTAAGGATTGCTATTCGTTCCCTGAGTTCTTGTGATCTTGATGGCTTTGCTCGAGGAAATCCAATATCAACTTTGAAATGAAGGGCTGGATCTTTATAGTTTATCTCTGAAACAGAAACAAACTTTTTACCTTATCACATTCATTCATCAGTTTTACCTGACTCTGTATATTTCCATATCTCATATAGCAGGAAAAATTAACCTTATGTGCAAGAATATGTGAAAATACTTGGAAATTTGCACATGTTATGGAGATGTGCAATCAAGTAAACAATATAAAACAGAATACAAATTTGTCTCATGTAGCAATGTCCCAGACTTCTGCCTATTCACTTTATGAATGCAGAATGTATGTAAAAGTGATGATGACAGCAGAAAAGTAACTAGAAAAACAGAAGTCTCGCTCTTTATAATATATTTAATGAAGTTGTCAGTAATTCTCACTATACTCGTACATCATTGACTGACTGGGTTATTGTGAACAATGTATGGGAAAGATTCGGAAGGAAGCGATCATGGCCTAAATTTTGGTACTATCCCACCAACAGCCCTTTGTACTGAACTTTCATTGCCTTTGGCTATGTGTACATGTAACAAATTCATGTTTAGTTAGGGTTGTAGCAATTAGGTCATATCTGCTTCCTTCAATATCATTTCCAATGAATTATTCACTGGACACTTCATAATTCGTTACTTAATCGAAGACAGTATATAAACAAATATACATTAATAATTAAGTTGGATATGTATTATTTATTGAATCTTAAATTTAAGGTTATGTATATGTATCGCCGCCGTTGTATTTGGTTCGGTGAAGTATCCATACCTCAGACCTAACAAATTATACAGCAGCCAGTACTGTACATGTCTGAATGACATACTACAACCAATATATACTCCTGCAAGTAGGTTTTATATATTACATTTCTAACCTTGGTTGGGATAAAATTAACTTGCCTTCTAATCGCTGTTTCAAACTTCTTGCTACACCAGGCGGTTTTCCTCTAATACGATGCCCATATCGAACCAATGATATTTGTACGGCATTCACATCTCTGGCACACAATTTTAAAAGAGGTGCAAACATTGTATTTAATTTGAATATTCTATAGCAAATTCGCCGCCATGTTAAGTTGGTGTACTATGTACTTCAGTTTAGTGTTTTATTAAACATGTTTGCCCTTAGTTGAGCTTCGAATAAATAGAAGTATACGGTTTTATTTATTTAAAGTTAATTAAATTAATTTAAAAGACTCTATATCATTTCTATGATAGATAAGATTACTAGTTATACCATTTTCTTTCATTGTGATAACAATATTTACCACCAGAGTGGAGGACTTTGCTGAGGCAACTTCCTTATCAGGGTTGACAATAGTGCAGTGCAGCCACATTATGGCGATTCTTAAAGAAAATCAGCTTAAAGCTTAAATTAATGATAATACGAAGACATCAATAAATTTTTACAACATATTATGCACATTTATAAGGTAGTGAACTGCCAGCACTTTTGTGTAATGTACATTTAAATAACAAAATTCTATCTCGAGAGTTGGTAGTAACTCTCTTGAACATTCTGTTCTCACATACGTAAACATTGTTGGATTCTGGCAGGTAGCGCCAGTTTGAAGCGAGAAGCATGGAGGAGGTGTGTTTATGTTGCAGGAAGTTGGCGTTGTTTTGACGTTTGGTTTTTGATAGTTCGTACAATGTATTCATGTTTCCCCATCTGAAGTCTAATGTTGGTAAACGTTTCTGCTTTAGTGGTGAGTTCATATCTCGGTTATTTAATTTTGTCAATATTCAGTTTCTTAAATTGTGGATGAGTACTATGTGACGGGGCCTCGTATTGTTTATGTTTAGCTAGATTAGGTTAATATTTGTTGCCTGCTTTAGTGGTGAGTTCATATCTCGGTTATTTAATTTTGTCAATATTCAGTTTCTTAAATTGTGGATGAGTACTATGTGACGGTGCCTCGTATTGTTTATGTTTAGCTAGATTAGGTTAATATTTGTTGTTAATATTAGCCTATTTTCTGTTTAGGACCTCGACGTTAAGAGATGACGGATCTTTTAATTCAGTCCGTTACTTCAAGAGGGGACACATTTCCCCGAAGGCTGTTGGATGGATGTAGGTCGTCTGTTGTGTCTCGTTACAGTAGAGGCGGGGGAGATTCTTTTGGTTCGGAGTTAAAACATAGCAAGAGTGATGACTTGGTTCTTCAGAGTGCAGCAATAATTCCACCAGATATTCAGCATGCGCCATGTGATTCATCCATTACGAAGACAAATTGTGTGGTGTACGAAGATGACTTGGTGTCTACACATGTTCTTCCTAAAGCAAAATATTTCAGTGATAGTGAGGCTGATGAGGTTAGGTCAAGCAGTGTTGATAAAGCAGCGCGAAAAATTTCTGGCGACTTTTCTGATGTGCAACGAATATCGAATCGCCATATGGGCTTGTATGATCGTGTGGATCCAGAAGATAGTATCCGGGATATGATAACAGAAAATGATTTTTACAGGTGAGATTTTAAAATACTGTAATATTCTATTTAAGCATCCTGTTGCATTAATGTATCATCTGCAAACATTTATTTTCGTCTTAAATGTAACTTATTATCTAGTCACCCATCTTCCTCACTGCATGTTTCGGCCGTATATGGCCATCATCAGGCGCTATCTTGCTAAAATTGTTGTACTGTATATCAAAATTACGCATCGCATGTGAACGCGATATTTCCTAATTAAAATAAATTAACCTTAATTAAAATGAATTAACATACCAGTGTTTACCTTTGGACGTCGCCCATTCGTTTAAAAGATATTTGCTTGATATTTCGCATTAGATTTATTTGCGGCGTGGGTATTATGCGTGTTATTTGTGCAGTTCATAAGGATGTCGGTGAGTGTTATTGTTAAGTTTTGTTACGTATGCACCATTGACTGTAGGTTCTTCCACGCTGCCAGAGTAGTTATGTTGTTAATTTGTGTGTATATAGACATTATCTACATACAACATAACTACTCTGGTAACGTGGAACAGCTCACAATAACACTACATCAACATCCTTACGAACTGCACAAATAACACGCACCATACCCACGCCGCAAAGGGACCGCTGCGCGAAGAAACACAAAACGAGAGATACTAAAGCAAATATCTTATAAACGAATGGACGAGGACCAAAGGAAAACATTGGCATGTTAATTAATTTTAATAAAAGTTAATTTATTTTAATTATGAAATATTGCGTTCACACGCGATACGTAATTTTGACATGCAGTACAGCAGTTTTAGCAACATAGGTGGTCAGAATTCCTGGCTACAGATCCAGAGGTCCCGGGTTCGATTCCCGGCGCTACCAGATTTTCTGAGAAGTAGTGGATCTGGAACGGGGTCCACTCAGACTCGTGAGGATAATTGAGGAGCAATTTCAAGGAAATAACGGCTCCGGTCTAGAAAACCCAAATTAACAGCCGTGGGGATCCGTTGCGCTGACCACGCGACACTCTCTCCGCGCTAAATTTGGCACTAACTTCGCCGACAAGCGGCGGTCGCTTGGTCGGTATAGTTCGATTGCGGACTAAAACCACGGAGTTTGTTTCTTTGTTTGTTTGAACACCTGGCGATGACCGTATACGGCCGAAACATGTAATGAGGAAGAAGGGTGACTAGGTATTAAGTTGCATTTCAGACGAAAATATTTGTGTGCAAGTCTTAAAACATATTAAAAATCAGTATTTGTTATTTTGCGATTTTTAATGTCTTCTCAAAGTAGGTAACCAGAATTTGCTGTCACGTTTAAAGTTTTCCTTTCTTTCTTTCTCTTTTTTTTCAGATTTGTCTTGTTCAAGAAGCATTATGAAAAATATTTACATCTGTCACAGAAGTACGAGGAAGCGAGGAATATTGCATACTATTTGGAGGAGAAATACCATGAAATAAAGGTAGGATATTTACTTGGCCTAATTTAAGGTGAATGGTTTTACTGGATTCTATACTTCCTTCTTTATTTATGAGATATCACATTTAATTTATATGGAAGGGGTTATTTGAGAGCTTGCCATAAGCTTTTTTGCAGTTTGGTAGGAGGGGGACACCCTTGATATCAGCTCGCACTTGTGGCATAGTTGATAGGCCAGTAGCCCATACACATCACAGTTTCTCCCCAGTATCCCTCCAATAAATCTCTGAACAGTTACCATGAAGCGTTAATGGATTAAATAAAGGCCCTNAATTTAATTTTTTTAATTAAGCAGTTAAGTTGCATTGCTTCTTGTGTCAAAATGCCATATAAGAGTTACAGGTCAATTGGAATGAGTGTTCATGCACACTCACTCACTCACTGAGCTGAGCCCTTCTTGAGAAGCCTCCAATTGTGCAGCTACTCAAGAATTCCCCAGTATTTTATGGAACCCGGAAGTTCATTGCCGTGCTCACAAGAACCCTCCTCTGGTCCCTATCCTGAGCCAGACCAATCCAATCCATCCCATCCTATATCTCTAAGATCCATTTCAGTATTATCCACCCACCTAGGCCTTGGTCTTCCCAGTGGTCTCTTTCTTTCTGGCTTTCCCACCAATATCCTATATGCATTCCTCTTCTCCTGCATTCGTGCTACATGTCCTCCCCACTTCATCCTCCTTGACTTGATCATTCTAATTATACTTGGAGAAGAATACAAGTTATGACAGTACACATGTGAAAAGTAAGGAGAAGTTTTAGGCATATATTTCAGTATGTTACAGTTCCAAATAGGAAATAGAAAGTCCATGTAATCAGAAATAAACGTAAAGAGAAATCGGATAGTTCTTACATAAAAAAGAACTTATGCTTATTAAGAGAAATTGGATGAAATTGCTGCTAGGCGTGATCATTTTACTCACTAATCTCATTATGGTTATTTGCTTATATATGTGAAAATTCCATGCTGAATTAAATTTAAACTTAGCAGTGCAAATGATTACTTAATTGGAAATTATCTTTAGCCATCTCCCGCATTTCACCTTTCCCATATTTTTGAAAGAAAATTGATATTGAAATTAATGGGAAATATACTAAATATTAGTGCCCAAAAATATAATTATTTTATAAGAATGTCCTTTTTGTTTCCTGAATAAAGTGTTTAACTACTTATTTACATGACTTAAACATGAGAAAGTTTCTGCCTGGCTCAGCTTGGAAAGAGTTCTGAAAGTGCCATGCTTGTTGGTGCCAATAGGTGGGCGTAATAAAAGCAGACATAAATGAATTTAAAATTGCCAGTTGACATATTCATCTCATCTTCTTGGACATCAGATTTGAGATTTTAAAATACCGTACATAAGCCTACATGTTATTTTGAGATTTGTCCTTTTTCCGTATTTCAGCATGCCACTATGAAATTATAATTTTTATGTGTTTATGACATATTTTTACTTGCATATGCATTATAATTTGCATGTTCAGCCTCTATTTAAAATCCTACATAGGCATACTTTTTTTTCTGAAGTGAAATTATATCTGCTGGACACGTTTTAATAAGGCAGAATGACCGGTATGATGTCACTTCCGAATGCAGAATGTTCAAACTTGCCAAGCCTGTTTACTGTACTGCATTTTTTTATTCACTTATTCTGTATGTATGGCCGTCATCTTGTTGCAAGTAGTTTCCATGTAAGTGTATTGTAGAATTTAGTGAACATAGCACAAGTGCTGGAAATCTTCCAACACATTCTTGCCATTCCCTGGCCCTTCACCAGCTCTGTGAAGGCATTTAAACCCTTCATTCATTCTCTTGTTGTTGACGCACATTTCCATATGAGAAATGTGCATTTAAAGCATTCATATCTCAAAGCGACTACTCTTTTGTTTTATCATGGTATGTATACCGCGGTAACGCAGTTCATAGTCTGTGATGGGAGACTCACTACAAAACTGAAAACAAGCTATTGCGACATATTTTTCCAAACAGTTTTGTGGTGTTGTTGCATTGATAAGGTTCAGCACTGTTAAAGGAATCAACACTTCCTAAAATTAATGAATGATGGGAATATATATTATGGTTAATGACCTACTGAAATGTCATCCCCCCCTTGCTCTTTCTCTTAAGTCAAAGTCAAAGTCAAAGTCGCATTGCGACTGACGGCCAGTCAGTCAGTAAGTCTTTGTGTCAAGCAGCCTCATGGGACTCATGACCAGATATTTATTACTGTTTGACAGTTACGGTCTTGTTTTTTGTGAGCGCCCTCTCTCAGGAGAGAACGGGTCTGTCTTTTGTATATGCTGCTGGTCCTCGCCAGCGCGGTCTCTCTCGGGTCCAAGTCCCTTGGTACTCGAGACTATATATTTGAGACTTCCCTTTTCGTCGCCTCCTACGACTCGCAGGGTCACGGTGGAGGTCTCTTTCTCATTTGCTAATAACGCCATTTATACTACACTCACTTACATGGTAAAAGTAAAAGGTAAAGTTGTCCCTGTACTTAATTAATTAACGCTACGCCATGAATGCGTATGCGGGAGTGGAAGTATAGCTCCACCATTCATGACCTTGGCACTAAATGGACGCCCCGGCCGTTCTATCCCCGGGAAAAGAACCACCCCCCTCCCAGTACCCATTGGTTAGGAGGTTGGGTGTGCCCTGGAGCTGGTCTGGATGCTGTGGGGGAGAGGAAAATCTTCCCCTGCCGGGAATGGGAGCCAGGCCGCCCAGCCCGTAGCCCGTCGCAATAGAGACTGAGATAGCCCGACTACTTTTATGGTTGTTTCTACAAAACTTTATTTTTTATTATTGCTGTCAGGTACATAATAAGGGCGCGCCCAGCACATTCCCATAGTGTGGATTTTTGACCTTGATATTCCCTAGTGGGTCGTAGTCTAAACTGATTCTGACAATCCATTTAGACTTCAGGCTTTTATAAATGTTTCTTTCGGTACTTGTTGAATATATCTATCTGATAGGTAGAGAGAGACGATGGTGAACGCCATACAAACAAACAAACAAACAAACAAACATAAAGGCGTAATTTAAAATATGCATGAATTAATCTTAATACAGTGGAGCCTCGCTTAACGAGCATAATTCGTTCCAGAATCTTACTCGTAATGCGAAACACTCGTTAAGCGAAACAATTTTTCCCATATAAATTAATGTAAAATACGATAATGCGTTCCATGCCGAAAAAAATACTAAAAAAATTTTATGTATAACGTTTATTCAAAGAAAATTATATATACATTGTTAAGGAGCGTGAATCATCTTCATCTTTTCTTCTATGCGGAATGAACCAACATGGAATGCGAATTCGATTTGCAGAAAAAAAAATCGAAATAATTAGTTTATCATTTATGATACATATCTAATTCTTTTTTACTAGAAAGCTGTCTAGAGACATTTGTTTTTGCCGACGCTTCAAAATTTGGTAAAAATGCGACACAGCATTATCATTAAATAAATTTGTAGCGCGCATAGCCCCTGCCTTATTAGGGTGATGCTTCTCAGTGTACGATGAAACAGTTTCCCATGCTTTCAGCATTTCTCTTATTGCGCCAGAAGTTTGTTGCTTTGCTGTTACTTCGTCCTCCTCTTCTGACAAATTCTCCTCCACAACTTCTTGCTGTGAAACACAATGCAACTCCAAATCTCGCAAATCGTTGATGTAGACCGATTGTAGACTTTGCATTATACATAGGACATAAGTTCTGTTGATACAGTGTTTACGTATTTTATTTATTGGGTTAATATTCTTGTAAACGTTTCCGATACTGAGGTTTATGTGTGGGCTTCGCATTACGTTGCAGCCTCAGTAAATATCAACACAGCCAACAGTGCAACGTAACACAGTTTGTTTTGTTAATTTGGTGAAACAGAGATTGTAATTTGTGTGCGCGCTTGTGTGTACATGTTCGTTCTGTATACAGAGTGTTTCACGACTTTAGGACATAACTGCAGGAGGTGATTTCCTAGGTCTTTGTGATCAAAAAAGTTCATATAAACATGTGTCCGATTTTTGACGGTTACGGAGTTATGGCAGTTTTTTCATTCCCGTACACGCCCTCGTGTGAACCGCGGCTGTCAGCTGTCGGGTCGCTATTTTTAGCCAGCTACAGACAGAGCGCTCTCGTTATCTCGACACTTGAGATGTTCCTACGGCGGGGTGGGTTGGTATGTCCGGCGCGGTTCACAACCGAGCGGCAGCCTGTGTTGCGGCCGGCGGTGGCATTTTCGAAAATCAGCTTTAAGCACCAATAAATTCAAATTAAAGGTAATTTCACGAAGTTAACTTTACATTCATACTTTAAATGTATCATGTATTATGCTGGTTTATTATTTTGTTCCGTTTATTGTCAGTAATCGTTACCTTCTCTTCTGAGTTTAAAATGGTCATAACTCCGTAACCGTCCAAAATCGGACACATGTTTATATGAACTTTTTTGATCACAGAGACCTAGGAAATCACCTCCTGCAGTTATGTCATAAAGTCGAGAAACACCCTGTAAATAGCCTATATATTGCTGCATTTCATTATCACTCAGGTTTTCTGAAAACTCTTTTTTTTAACCAAATTTCATACGCATTTTTTAAACCAAAATTCTGATTAATTCAGTCTCATTCTTGATATAAATCATGACTTAATAAAACTGTTAATGTTATACTGTTGTTTGACTGAAATTTTAACCGTGCTAATGAATACTACGCGACCTTTATATAACCCATTCCACATATGTCGTCGGTTGTTTTAGGGTTCTATAAATGGATAGTTGTGGTACTAATATGAGCAATAATTTCGGGGCAAGTCAGCGAAAGTGATTGTTACATATATAAACACATTCTGGTGGAGTCGTTGGGGAGAAACCACGAAAAACTCCACGATTGCCAGTCATTGACCGGGATTTGAATTCGGACACCTCCCTCGGTTATAAAAGGGCATACGGATTTGAAATTTGCAGGAAACTAAGGATTGTATAT